AGATTTTATTATGTTAAATATTTTATAAATATCAAGTGATTAAGTATGTTTCGAGTTAGTTTAAAGTTAATAAAATTATAAATAAATATATATATAAGAATTATTAATTTTGGTATTTTGTTTGTTTGTAGGTAAATCTCATTAAAGTAAAAAAATTCAAGTTTAGTAAGTTCCCTTAATTGACATTAATTACCTTAAGATGCTTATTTTAAATATACTTAGTTAAAAGTTTAGATATAGATGGTAAAAATAAATATCAATGATTTAGTTATAATTTTTTCTGTATAATTTATTCTATTAGGAGTGAGCTAGATAGCATGTAATTTATTATTTAGTGATTATAATTATAAAAAATGAATTTTTTAATTAAGTAATACATTATTGTTAAATTTTATAATAATAAAATGAAATTAATTAAATTATATTTTTTAAAATGTTCATGTAACTGAGGAATATGTATTCATAATATTGATAAAGAAAATTTATAAATTTATAAGTTTTTTTTAAAATAAAAGCTTATTAGCAACATACCACTTGTAGGTAAAATATTTTCAAAATGACAATTTTTAGCATCACAACGTGGAACAACTTGCTAATTGGCATGAGGAGTGCATGCTTGTACTTATAAGATTATCAGCAACAAAGAACATGTTGTTGAAAGTGACAAGATAATCAGCAACAAGGAACTTGTTGTTGAAAGTAAGATGCTCTACTATTCATAGAAGAATCAACAACAAGAGATATGTTGCTAAAAATTGGGTGGGCTTTACCATTTATGGGGTTATCAGCAACAAAGAACTTGTTGCTAAAAATAGGTACTAAATTATCAACAACAAGGGATATGTTACTAAAAAGGGTGTTAAATTTCCAATCACTAGTTCTGGCGACTATTTTTGGCAACATAAGCCACGTCGGTGAAACCAAATTTTCAACGACGTGGCTTAAGTTGCTAAAAGGGGTGCAAAATTCCAATAACTAGCTCCGATGACTTTTTTAGCAACATAAGTCATGTTGATAAAACTCCACTTTTAGCAACAAGGATTATGTTACTGAAAGGGGGTCATTAATTAGCAACGCAAAGCTTGTTACTGATGTATTATCTACCAAAACTTCTGCAACAAAGACATCAGTAACATGGCTCTTGTTGCTGAAGTACTTTGAACAATATGAGCACCACTTTCAGCAACATTGTACCATGTTGTTAAAAAGAGGAATTTTAGTAGTGTCTAGGACTTCGAAGACTACAATGTTTCGTATCTATCCCAATAAGAATAATCGCACCACGATTACAAATTCTTATAGAAACATATGAATGCATAGAAACTAGGTTTCAGCACTCAACAGAGGAAATTGGCTGTAAAGCAAATCGAAAAATAGTTCAAAAAATGCAACATTCCCCCTTTTTTTTCTATTTTTTAAGTCAATCCTGATTGGCATCATGCTATAGTGCTGTACCACAGAAACTGTAGTCCATGATTTGCATCAACCTTGATGGCATAGAAGATGTGAGGTAAGCACTAAAGAAAACTTCAAAAGATACAAAAGAACCCTTTCAATGTTTCGACCCAGTGCAAAGCCCATTAATGCCCTTTAACTCAAAAAGGAACATATCAAGCTTATCAGCATTAACTTCCAAAGCTCACTAACACACTTTCCATGCTGAAACACATAAAATGAAATAAGACAAAGCAAAGAAATAGGCATGGGCTTAACTTGAAAATTGTCCAAAATCAGGCTTGGGTGACTGATGAAGCTGGTTATGGTGATATGGAGAAACATGTGGCCCATTTGGCATAGATATGCTCTTGCTTGGTCGAACATTCCTTGATGGGAAACCGCCTTGCACTCTACCACCAATTCTAGCATTTGCAATGGATCCTACACACTCTGCTTGCATGCCCTAGAAGTGAGATGAAGAATAAGCCATGTCAGAGGCTTTAGTGCTTCAACAACTTCGCTCATCAAAGGTTTGGCTTTAGGATCATGGCCAAGACAGTGGGCAGCCAATTGAATCGCTTTCTGTGCCCCTTTGATTGAGGAGCATCCTTCAAGGCGAGGATCCAAAAGTCAGTAAAACCTTCATTTTTGTCACACCCCAACCCCTAGGTTTAGGCATAACAAACGCCACAAATCTATAGGATAACCCCATAAATGTGTAAAGCCATCTACCTACATATCAATATAATCTCCCATAATGTTTTAATGTAGCATTGCAATTTCAAAATACACGATTTCATTAACAAATCTTAATAATCTCTAAATAACAAGATCAAATCTCTTAACCAAAACATAAAGTGATTAATATCTTATTCCATAAAATCAAATAAGCTTCCAATTGAACTATTGCTAAATTCCTATCAATTTATTCTAATGATCTCTCAATCCCCATGCAAAACCCGATGCTCATACTTCTTCACCTAAAATGAGATGAAATTTTGAAAATGTGAGTTTAAGAACTCCGTAAGTAATATACCCATTCATCTCAATCAAGTATAAAAATTTAAAACTGAATTTTTTATTGAAAATGAAACGATATAAAAATACAATTCTTTTCTCGAAACCAAAATATTTCATTTTTCATCCCTTATAGCTGCGTAACAATCCACAATCAATGATACTCAATCATCAATCCACAATACACAATCCACAACTCACGATTCACAATCCACAGTTCAGAGATCCCAGGTCTATTACAATACCAACAACTCAACTCTCATAAGGATGAATCATACAGTCAGGACAAACAAAAGAAACCATTCAAAAAATAACCATTTCAATAATATTGGAGAAAAACAAATTTAAATTAGCCACCTACACATGGCCACAATTTCATCTCAAACTTAAATAAAAATATTATGCTTGGTCCACAGATCATCTCATTCCATCATTAAAAATATTTAATAAAAAGTCATTCTCTAGAAATAAATAAATAAATAGATAAATAAATTAAAACTGGACAAACTCATTTAAATCTATCGATTTGCTTTAAAACACTGGAAGATATAGCTACTTATCTCAATAACTATCCTTCAAAATGCAATCACCACACAGCTACTTGAAACCTAAGTGAACATCAAGTATACATAATTTAATCACCAAGTAAAATTTATCCTTTGCTTATTAAGCATCTACATGATAAAATTCTATAGCCATACCACTGTTGTCCTCTTTCTCAAACCCAAGTATTCCAACCCACTATTAGAAACTAAGCACCTAATAAATAATTTCCCCTTTAAAATTTCCTCACATCACCACCCAAATTCACAATCTTTTTATCAATACCAAAATCCATTTGCTACAGTAAAATCAGTCTCCCAACCATGCTTCTATCCATTCTCTTCATTCCAAATTCCTAAATACTTCAAGCTTTAGAAGATAATTTACCTTGGATTTAGTCTAGTATGGCCAAATCCCTAAAGGTCAGTTCCCCCTTGCAGGCGAGTGGCGAGAGAAGAAGACAATCCTGTTCGCCAGAAAAGAAAGAAAATTGAAACTGCCGAATTGAATCTGATTTGGGTTTTCACAAAAAGAAAATATTGCTAATTGGTCCCTAAGCTTTAATTACAAGGTTTTAATCCCTGAGTCCCTCACCTGATTATAATTTTAACCTCAAATTTAATCCTATCACATATACACCCTCTAAAAGTTTAAATAATTTATTTAAATCTAAAGTAAGAATTCCTTGGGTATTAAAGTTTCTCTCCAAGATATGGCCGAGCCCATTCCACTAGGTTATGCTCCCCATTTGGTCGGTTTTTGTCTATGGATCTTCAGCCTGTCAACTTCTCAAGAAGAACCTCCCCAGAGCTATAGACATCACTCTTAGATGTCAGATGCCCTGGATCTTCATTCTAACATATTTTCACTCATAAGAAAATTTATATCATATGAATACCAACAACAAACTGTTAGATGGACCAAGAAAAGAAGATAAAATAAAAATTACTTGGATTGTATAGACATAGTTGTTGAAGTAAATAAAAGCTGAACACATCATGGATCTATTGCTACAACATCCCAGCACCATATATACAATGTCTTAAAATAATTCTTCAAACTAATAGAAAATTAAACAGATAATTTTGGGGATTTTGTATGTTGGGAGAGGGGAAGGGAGGAGGGTTAATGCCATTCATGCTGTTTATCTGTTCCTCTTACCTGTCATTACGTACTCAGGGGCAGCATAACCATAGGTTCCCATCACTCGGGTTGATACATGAGTCTTCGCTTCCTCTGGGCCATCTTTGGCTAGTCCAAAATCAGAAAGCTTGGCATTCTAATCCTGGAAAGGTGTTGGCAAACGTACTCTTAGATAAGGGATGATACATGGAAAAATAAAAATGGAAATTGTTAACATCATTCGAGTCACAAACCGCATCCAACAGGACAAAAGACGTTTTGAAGTCTCGATAAATTATTGGTCTTTCAACTTCCTCATGAAGAAAAGCAAGGCCCTCGGCAGCACCACAAGCAATTTTCATTCTGGTGGACCAGGGCAAAGGAAGAGACCCTGCAACATTAAACATGCCCATTATATGAAGCACTAGAGTCAAATAGTCTGCTGGCAGACCATCATTCAGTCACTAGGCTACTGATATTGTAAATCAAAATAAGGAGGAGGTGGAGGGTTTCAGGATAAGTTTTCTCAAAATCCTCATATAATGAATAGTTTCTTTAAAAAGTGCCTCCACAACATATGGTGCTGTTAGGCTGTTCCTTTAAAGAAAAGTATATCATTTTCATATCATGCTCTATAAGAATGATGATTCCAGGGATCAATGCTGAATGGTAATTGTTTCTGTCACCATCAGTTCTTCACTTTCCAACTTATAACATAACTAATTTTCTCATCAACAAAATTATTAACTTCAGTGATAATTATTTTCTCTACCTCATTTGTGAATGAGATCGCAATGTTTCAATGCACTTAAACTATAACCAAAGCCATTAACAAGAAAACCGAGTCCAACCAAAACATATGAAAACAGCTAATGAAACAGCTTCTTGAAAGGTCATTTTACAAGATAGAAAATACAAGAACCCCCTAATTGGTGGCATCTATGCCTAATTCCAAGTAGGTACAACTATATATAAATGGGTTAAATGTCAATTTTAGTCTCTCAACTTTAGAAATTTACACATTATTTGCTCTTCAACTTTTTTATGTATTTTTTTAGTCCCTCAACTATAAAAAATGTACTTTTTTTAATTATTTCATCAATTAGTCCACTAAACTTATCCAAATATACACATTTTTAGTTCCTCATCTTATAATATATGTATATTTTTTTTCCTCGACTTAAAAGTTTAGGAATTAAAAATATAGACTTAACAAATTAATTGATAAAATAATTAAAAGAATACATTTTTCGTAGTTAAAAGACCCCCAAAATACATAAAAATGTTAAAATAATAAAAATTATATAAAATTTTAAAGTTAAGAGACCAAAATTAACATTTAAAGTTCCTCATCTTATAATATATGTATATTTTTTTTCCTCGACTTAAAAGTTTAGGAATTAAAAATATAGACTTAACAAATTAATTGATAAAATAA